CCTAATTGAGGTATTCCAATAAACCCAAGAGCCGATGCTATTGTTACCTTTAATACATAAAGAAAGGAATCACATATTAAATTATAATGTTTCTTAATTAAAATTACAACAAATGGTAGAAATTTACTATATGTCCGTGTTTTCTCTTTATCATTTCAGGCAGAAAGACTTTGGTGGTCCAAAAAGATGATAATAAATTAACGTTGAAAGTTCTTGATGATTAATAATAAAAGTATATTGTTATTGTTAATAACATAGTAAAGATTCATCATCTTGTGTATCGGAATATACTTCAAACAAGATCTCACTCTATTATTTCTTTTTCAGATAAATCCAGAATGGATTTTCCTTGAACAATTCCAGCATTATTGATTAGAATAGTAGGATGGCCAACCTAAATATATGTTTGAGTGTTAATTATTAATTCGAAAATTTTAATAATTATTGTTGATTGGGTATTGTTCAATCCCGAATCAATACAGAGGTTGGAACCGTTATAAATTCAAAAGTCATTCAAAAGTCGGGTTGAGTTTATACATCAATATAACCGGTTATTATAGGTAAAATTAAATTGGATTTAGTCGGATTGTGTTAAATGTAGAAAATAACATTATTTAGTAATATATTATATAATTAGCTTGTGTAAAATAGAACTCTGTTATATCGATTTTAAAATTTTAACTTTAAAATTCACGTCATATAAATTTTATCATTCGGTTCCAACCTCTAAACATTTAACGTTTACCTCAAAGGTAAAAAAAAAATGGTTATAAAGTAATAGATACCTCATCGATGATCTCCTTAGCTACCCTTTGAACATCTTCAAGTTTTGACACATCACATTCATAATAAGTTATATTAACTAGACAAGAATTTATAAGTATACAAAATTATCATTTGTCATTAAAAGAATCAAATTATTTCAATTAAAAAAAAAAAAAAGAATACCATTTTCAACTTCTGGAGACCTAATATCTAATATAACAACAGTAACATTCCTAATTGCAAGTGTTTCTGCTAGTAAATTTCCAAGGCCTCTCGAGCCTACATATTCATCAATAAGAAATGGATCAATTGAGACAATAATAAGATCAGATATAAAAGAAAATTATTATGGCATTGACCTCCAGTTATAACCACAACTTCTTCATCCCAATCAACTTTGGATGATTTCCACCCATTTCTACTTTTTATACTCAAATAACCTAGAAACCAAAAAAAAGCATACTACTAAAGTATAAATACTAGTCAACAAAAATTCTGTTCGACCCACACCATGACCTTGAATGTATATGAAAGAAAAAAAAAGTATTGCAAACGAAGGATGTAAGAAGGTTAATTTTAGGATACGAATGAAAAAATCTATTGAGAAAATCATTTTTGGAGGTGAGATTATCGTTATTTGAGTTATATGCAAATTAGTGTTTGACAAATGATTTCTTCTTTTCCTAATTTGAATGATAATTACCTGTTAAAAGTTAATTCTGATATAGGTTTTGTGTTGCATTGTGAAACTGTGAAACTGTGTAACTGTATCGATTTAATTGATTTAATATTAAAAAACTGATGAAACTTGGCGGTTAGTTTCATTTGCAACTCTAGTACAGTATGTACTGAACTAAGGATTGGAACCGTTTATTTTAGTTAGAATTACTGTTGTTAGGCGAAACCATTTTTGGCAAATGACGAAAGATGAAACTAAACCCGACGAAAGACGAAAACGACGAAACCTTTGCGAAATCCCCTGGTTAAGGTGAAGTCCCTGGAGAAAGTAAAAACTCGGTGAAGATCAAATCCTCCAAGATTTTGAAATGACATATTTTGCGCGTGGCTATTAAGCACAGCATGTGGTTTATATAAAAAAAGCAAAAACAAAGTGATAGCTTTTTGTTGTATTCGAGTATTATTAAAAGAAAACTAGACTTCAGGCCTTTGAACTTATAATTAAATCAACCCTGTCTTGAAAATTCAAAGCCTGAAATCTCTTTTAGAAGCGCTTATCTATATATTAATATTATTCATGTAAAATAAACCTAAGAATTTTATATTTAAAATAACCTATCATGTTCATGAATATTTAAATATTTTATTCGTATTCATTTAATGTAACTATATAGTATTTATTAATCCAAGTAAGTTCATGAATATTTATTATCTTTATTCGTATTAACTAATCTGTATTTAAATTTAAGAATCTTATTAATGTGAAATAATAATATACCGGTAATTAATGATTATAAAGATAAATAAAGAATGTACATATTGTAACAAACATAACAATAATTTATATGAACTCATAGCTAAATCGACTCTAATGAACTAAAAAAATTGGAAAAGAATTTAGTATATATTTTTTACAAACTGGTTGGATAGTATACAAAAGATTAAAAATATTAAGAAAATAATAATAACAGTTATAATTAAGATCATATAATTTTGAAAGTTAAATCATTATTGCAGTACGTATTGATTATATAGTTTATTCAACATATATTAAGCTAATTTATTTATATACTAATCTTACATATATTAAAGATTGAAAATTAAAGATATTGTTTTAAAATTTTACTTTTCGTCACCCAGAAACTATTACTTTCACCCACCCTGTACAATACAATTCCAGCACATTTTTTATTAATATATTATCCTACTTGATTCATAGGTAAGTATTACATTTAACAATACAATCAACAATTATTAAAAATTCTGATTGCGGAAAATGTGCAAATATAATGAGTGATGTGTAATAGCAGGTACGTACACGAACATACATGATTTTGATGTAGCAATTTAAAGATAAACAAGTAGAAACAAAGAGATTGATGATAACATGAAAGAGTTTTAACTTTCTTTAATTACCTTTTTATTCTTGCCACTTTACTAGTTTTGCCAACTTTCGCCAGTTTCGCCATTTCACCTTTTTAATTTTTTTTTGGCGAAAGTCGAAACTAGGTTTCGCCTAGCAACACTAAGGAGAGAATATAGAATACTATAGTAATTGCTCGCGTAGCATGCAATAATAAGATCACCAATTGTTTTAAATAATTTTTTTTTGAAAATCAGTGATACTCAATTTTATTAAATTTGTTCAAATATTTAAAAAAAAATTTGTAAAAAAATTTGGTGTTTTATACTAACTTATCATATAAATTATATATATATATATATTTGCCTATTATTTTACCGTTTTTGGTCAAAAATTCTATTATAAACAATATAAAATTATGTAATGTGTTTTCAACATAACAAAATAACCAGCAAGGTGAACTAAACAATGTTTCAAAATTTTAAAATTAAGAAAATTAAATAAAAAGACTAAAAAGACGATTTGATTTAGCTAGTTTTGTATAGTGGGTTGCTAGGTATGCCTTTTATTTGTAATATAATCCAAATAAAGTTTTGCTCATATATCAGACTATTTTTAAATATGTATCACAAGAGTAATATATTATATAAAAACTAAACTCTATTTTTAATCGGAATTTTTTTCAGAGAATTTAGATGGCTTGAAAGTAATTTATTATATAAATTTTATTCACTCATTTTACTCTATAAAATATATTGTATTGATCGAAAAATTATTATTTGCTTCTTTAACAAAGCTTACAGCAATAAAAGACTACACTATAATAATCGTGTATTTAGCAACTAAATTTAAGAGATGTTCCGAAAGAAGTTCCATAACAACGGATGACAGTATAAGCTGCGACATCACCCTATGGTGCAAATCCTTCAATATTATCATACCCACAGCTAAGTCCGTACCAATTCATGTTATTTTGGGCATCATAACCCTTTCCATCACAGCATACAAGAGTTCCTATATTATTAATTGGTTCAACCGAATAGCATTGTTTATAATCCGGATCACCACTAAGAATCGCTATGTTTGCATTGCAAGTAGGTCCATAGACCAAAGGTGCAGCATAGCAAACGCCCGAACAAAATTCACTCGAGTAACTTAATGATAATTTAAGAGGTCCTACCAACAGTAAAATAATTAACTATTTCTACAATTATTATAAGTGTCTCACACTTAGGTTGTTTTTGTTATATATTTTAATTGTATCACTTTAAAATGACTAAAAAAAAATCAGTTATTGCAATGATTATATTTATCAAGGTTATTAATAGTAAACCTTGTTAAAAATACAAATAAATGAAAAAGTAAATACAAATACAAGCATAAATATAACTTAAAAAATTTTTGGGTTAGTCGGCTGAGCTAACCTTATTACTACCATTTAATAAGTGCTCATAATCAATTTTTATATCTATATCAAATACGTAAAAAACCTTCTATATCTACACCAAAGTTATTTCGAAATAAATTTTTTTAGTTGATTTATCAATATCAAGAGTGATTAACACTGAAATTATACAATTAACATCAATCCAGATGTGATTATGCTGAGAAAAAGGGACGAAATTGACATAACAAACCCTGATCGATGGTTCACGAGGTAATTAATTTTTGATGAGTTTTTTAATGTCAATTTCGACCCTTTTCTCAGCACCAAGCCTATTTATATAAAATTTGTTGACAATTTGAATATGCAAATTATGATGGAGATGGAATCAAAGTTTTCACAAACGTCATTCTTGATGTGATAATCTACGATGCTCATTTGTTATAATCAATTAAAATAAAATAAAACTTGCATTTGATACTTGAACGATTCAGGCGTTGTCGCCACTAGGTTTAGGTCATCATTGATATTTGATTACGAAATGAAGAAATTATTGGCGAAATAGTAAAATTGGTAATGCTGACAAAAAAAATGGGTAGGTATCCGTATTGATTTTTGGAGGCTTTCTGGTATTTTTCTTCGTTTAGAAATAACTAGAAATCATCACAGGTGATTATCACAACTTCTTTATAATTAGAGTTAGGGTTATAGCGAGGGTATATAGTTTATAGTAAAAGTTCACAATAAGATTTTTTATTAAAACCTCAAAGGTAGTTTCATTGAGCAAAGTTTTACAATACAAGGTGATAATCACCTGTGAAGTAAATTAGTACAGTAATTGGTATTGAATTATTTAGTGAATAATTTTTATAATTGAATATTTATTTAGTGAAACAATTATACAGTATATTCGATTATTCGAATATTTACAAACTTTAAATTTCGTCTGCGTCACAACCCTGGTACACATTATAAAAGTGCTCCAATCAGATTCAAGATTTTGTGAACTGTTAGTGGCGAAATTAGTGATCCGAACTACGTATTTGATCCGGGTTAACCGTCGGTTGAACAATAAACCAACCGGTTGAGAATCGGTTGGTTAAGAGTCGGATCAACATTTTATATGCAAGTTTGTTTTTTGTTTTTTTTTACATCAGAAAAATACAATAACGAAAGGGTGCTGGTATTCATACCCCCCACTTTTGGTATTCGTACCCCCAAATTTTAGAAAAGTGCTTTAAAAGAGATAACTTAATAAGTAAACCTTCTTTTTGGGTCTAATTAAAGTTGTTCATTAGGCTTTTCCGGTTCTAATAGTAGTAAAATTGTTAAAATTTAATAAGTAGTTCTCTTTTTATTTACGTTCAAAGTTAGCAATTTTCAATTTATCTAAAATTTGGGGTACGAATACCAAAAGTGGGGGTACGTATACCAGCTCCCTAACGAAAATGCAAAAGTTATTTGGCGAAAATTATATACATGATCCTAAGACACCACCAAACTTGGGGTGGCAAAAATCATGATTTAAATCAAATTTTGTAATTTAAAAATTATTATTTAAAACATTTGATCTTTATTACGTAATTCAATTATTTATATTCAAATTCTGATTTTAAATCCAATGCAACATAACATATGTTCTACAAAAGTTATATCTTTTTGCAAAGCGTAATGACAAAAGATTTAAATCTGCTTTAAATTGATTTAAAATAAAAATCAATTATTTATATCATCGTGATTTAAATCACATGCCATCCTTACACCAAACCCTATGATACTGTATAACTTACTTAGTTTGACCAAAACCTCACTTGTGTTCTGAGTTCTAACAAGTTTTCTGAATTGGATAATATTCTTTTAACGTTTAAGAAAAAGAAAATGAAAATGAATTGCTTTGTGGTAGTAGTTAGTACGTATCTATAAAAGTAAACAATTTTTATGTGATGCTTTTAATTTAATTAATTTGCGCTGCGTTATAATAAACTTTATATATTAGAGTGACTTAAATATATTCGATAAAGAATCAACTTAATTTTAGTATAAGTAGAAATTGAATTCTTTAACAACTCGAATTTAATTTACAATTTTATTACAACCTATGTTTACCCAAAATCAACCTACAGTAATTGGATTCTGACATAAAACATACATAACAGATAAGAAAGGAACCTGGTATACAAATGATTCTTTTAACTCTATTGGTCCATCGGTTGACCTGCTAACCTCCACCCGGTTGGTTATAATTTCACCCGGGTAACGACCCAACCGCGGTTGACCCGGTTGATATCCAACCGGGTCGAAACACTAGGCGAAATGGTCAAAAACACACCCCCACAAAACAAGAGAAAAGCGATGGATGGTCGCTTTACTAAGGGAGATGTCACGTAACGTTACTCAATAGAGAGAGTGAGGCGGTTACGATTTGGCGTGGTCTAAGACGTCTATTGAGGTACGTTACAAGGGTCTAGAGGGTTTTTATTAACGAATTAGATGTGTAGGGGGCAAATTACACACACGGCACTTTGACATGAGGAACTCGACCTATTATTTATAACAAAATTACAGGGCAAGAAAAGAACAAAATCGAACGTTTCCTCCTTTCTTTTATCATTATACCGCCATTGAACTCAAGCCATATGACCCTTTTATGGTCTAATGTCCAACCCCGTTACACACAGCCATTACCATTGAAACATTCTACGGAAGGAAAAAGAAGGCAAGTAAAATAAAGGCTTCTACGCCATCATTATTGCGACATCGTTCTTTACACATTGACTCAATTCATTGACACTCATTCATTGACACTCATTCATTGACTCATTCATTGACTCATTCACTTTTCTTTTTCCACGGCCACACACTTAACCCGACAAGGTAATATTACCTTGACCGATGTCAATCTAATCGGGAATGGGGCTTGACTTTCACAAGATCGACGTTAGTGATTCGAATGGAGGACCTGGCTTCAACAGGTTTGTCGCAGGGCGTCGTGTTCGCCAGTAACAGTACGAACGCCAAACTCTGATTTAGCCCATATACTTCGTTACACTACACTTGATTCAGTTTTTAAGATAGAGAAGCCATTGGAGAGTTTTGAATTATTCAGACTTTATAAGGGACTTCCGAGCGTATATCCAGTTAAGATTAGTTTTCGTGTATATTATTACTGATTCTATTTTAATTAATTATTAATTCTATTTAATTTTTAGCAATTTCTATTTGTATTCTACATGTATGTACGCGAAAGCCAAGACCTGGTGTATCGTAAAATTATAGCTTTCTTTAAAAAATAATTTATGTTTTAAATTTTCGATTATAAAACACTTTTTCGGTTCTAACAAAAAAATTTTCTCGCAAAATTTTGATATAAATTATTGCCATACCCTAAAACTTAAACCTCCCTT